CTGCTTGACAGGCATCGGTGCACCTTTAGAAACTCTCACAGTCAGTCTGCCACCACATCCAATCACACGCTGTCCTTCCATGGTTTCCTGGGAAACCAACACACATCGCTACCTCATATCACACAGAAAACTTAAAAAAAAAAGGACCCCGCAGCATTTCCTTATTGTCAATAATTCTAATGCATTAAAATACATCCCCACTAAAACATAATAATGTCATATAAACAATAAACAGAGCAGGCCTTAGGAGGAAGAATGGCATTTAAATTCAGGGTTTTCTCGTGGGGACAGTGCCAAGGTCTGAGCAGGAGGCCCCGCTTATGTGTCGTGTGACCCTGGGTGAGTTCACACTTCTCCATAAGTGAAGAGCAAGAAGCAAAAGGAGCCGCTCTTAGTCTCCTCTCTGTTCCTTCTGCATGGCGGTTCTATTCTCTCACGGTGGCTTTTGGAACCACTTGGCTGGACCTGTGGCCCTGGCCACTCCAGGCTCACAGCCGCCCAGGTTTGCCCCCGCATGAAGAACTCTGCTTTTCCAATGCAGTGTGGAAAATCCCAGGGCAAGTTCTGAGAGGCTCAGCTTAAGTCACGCCCACCCATTAACCAATCACTGTTTTCTGAGGGACAAGCCATTCAGCCCATGTGACAGGGAAAGGCAGAGAAGAGTCACTTCCTGAAGGTCATTCAGGAAGGTCAAAGCCCAGACATGAACCCTGGGACATCGCTGTGAGCTAGAAAGCCACTCCTGACTGTGTCTCCAGCGAGGACCTCTTCTTAGCACCCACATTTGTCACAGACTAGTCTCTCCACACTACAGGACTTTTAGATCTTTGGTTGAGAAAATACATAATGATATATAGCTACTAAAAGTCTCCAATGAAACTATTTTTTATTAATCACATAAACACACATATGGGTGTGGTACATTTGATGCATTCATCCTCCGGGGCGGGCTGGACTTGCTCTTAGAAATGCTGACTCCTGCAAGAACTCAGGGGTCCCTTCCGGACTGCCCTTAGGTCCCGCCCGGCCCCTGTGAACCCGGCTTCTCTACAGCCTGAGTGGCTGTAGGAGAAGGGGTGGGCAATGGTAGAAAGAGGGGAGAGAAGTGTCCGAAAGGTCACCACCTGGGTGCTGGACAGATTTGCCAAGACAGAACTGCTAGCAGGAGTGACCACTGCCTGTGGTGATTTCTCCACCACTCAGAGACTTGATGTAAGACCCACCGTATAAAGTGTTTCTCTAACCTTTTATAAAACTGTGGTTGAAGGTGTCCCCGACGTATTGCTAGAAAGGCTTTACTTCTGCCACCTTTGGCTGCGATACCGGTGCTGGGTCTGGCCCCACTCTCTCCCTGGTCAATATGACCTTGAGAAGGTCATTTTCTTCTGTGGGTCTTGGGTCTTTCTACACAAAGTGAGGAGATTGAATCCATTTGCTACTTCTCACATTTTCCACACAAGTATTCTTTGTGGTTGGGACAGTGAAGGGGGAGGACCCAGGGCACCAGGGGATATGATTTGAAGAGAGTGGAAATCCTGAATCCTATATTCAGTCTTGAGATAATCAATGAACCCAGAACCCAGTTTGTGAAACCGGGAACCATATTGCTGTCGTCCGTTCCTGAGTGTTCTGCAAATTTCTCATGAGAAAGGGAATGCCTTCGATGTATTTTGACATGGGCTCTTTTCCCCTAAACTTCAGGAAATTCAGAACCAAAATCAGTGTCTGAAGAAGCCCAACTCAGGGACAGGTGACATAGATTCCTTCAGCTCCTTCCGATGACTGTGGCTCTCATTTCTCCCATCTTAGTACACTCAGAGCTTTGCCTTGTCAGCCGCCTCAAGGCCTCCAGAAAACAGATGAAGAATAGGTCTTAAACAGCAGCCACAAATACAGAGGCCAGATCTCTTATCTGAAACCCTTGAGGCCAGATATAGTTAAGAATTAAGCGTTTTTTCAGGTTTGGGAATATATCGTATATTATGTAACACCTCCAGCAGGGTCAGGGCAGCAATCTATGATCGCATACTTAGTATTTCTGCAGCAAAACCTAAAAATAAATTAACGCTAAACAGCTTCACATCAGTTCAGCTCAGGGTGAGCTGCGGAATTAGCTCAGTGCAGGTCAGGCTTTGGCACCAAATGAGTTGCAAAACCAGCTTTTGATTTTCAGAGCATTGTGGGGTTTGGAATTCCCAACAGGGGGTCATGGACCTGATCAGCTGATGTGAAGGAGGCGCCGGGAGCTGGGGACCAGTTCCCCATCAGCTGAGGCCGCAGAAGCCTCGGGGGCTGCAAGGCTCAGACGTGGGCTCCCACCCTGCCCGGGAGACCTGGGCAGCTTGCGGTCTCTCTGAGCTTCTTTCTTCATCCAGAAAATAAGAATAACCACACCAAAAAAAAAAAAAAAAAGAAGAATGACAACACCCACCTCCCAGGATCACTGTGCAGTTACAGAGACGGTGCAGGGGCTTAATCTGGTGTATACTAAGCGTCCACTGACAAGAAGCCGCTCTTGCCTCTAACGTCATCATCATTGTCGTCCAGTGATGGAGGAGCTGAATGTTCTCCACATTTGGGACATGTCAGGAGGGCACATTTTTCAGCCCTGCATGTATATGAGCTCTGAGTCAGTGAAAAGCAGAGGAACCACAGATGTGTACAGCTGCCGCCAGTTTATTGTGCCGTAATACAAACAGTTTACATTGAACATCCTGAGAAGTCCTGAATCTGTGACTTACCGTCACTGTCATGTAAATATTCCAGTTAGAGCCAGATTTTCAGTCTGCATCCGAAAAATCCCAGGAGTCTCCAGCTCCGCCCTACATACACCAGGGATTTCTGCAGGGCCCAAGGCCACCACTCTTATAGGTTTACAGGACACAATGCTGGCTCCCAGCTGGAGGACGGTGTCAGTCCAGGGATCAGAGTTTCCTGCGCAGGTGGTGACGTGGGTCATTCCCTCTCCAGCAGATGAGGGAGAATGGCTCCAGGCACAGCGCTCAGAGCACCCAGGGACCCTCTGTTTTCATGAGTCTCTGTAGGGACTCCACCTCCACGTAACATGATGGCAAGCAGCAACTTTCCCTTCTTCCCCTGCCCCCACCCCAGCCTGGCTGCTGATCAGAATCCTCCCAGAGCTTCAAAGAAATACACATTCCCGGGCCCTGCCCCAGACGCAGTGGATCAGGAGAGCAGGAGCCATGGCCCGGGAATCTGTGCTCCTCCAAAACTTCCCTGGTGATTCTGAGAGGGCATTTTGGGGCCACTCACTGCTTTATACCTTCCGGGCCTCCTGACAGCCTCTGGGGAGAGAGAAAACGGCAGGTGTGGCTCACCCCTTGAGAGCTCAGGTACTGGAGCCCAGAGAACAGGTGTGCCCTGCTGGGCCGGGCGGCTGCAGTGTGAGGGACCAAGCCAGACGCCAGCCCAGTGTCCGGTCAGCGTTCTTTCAGCCCTGGCAGGGTGCCCTGAAATGGGAGAGGCTTTACCCAGCTACAGTTTCCGCTTCCCTCCTTGAATTTGAAAGGCTGGCCGGCCACTGTGTCTATAGACCCATCCTTGGCATATCGAAGGCGGCCTCTGCAAGGTCCCCAATGGGCCAGGGAGGAGCTCCCTGTGCTTTCAGGGTCTGTGGAGCATCTCAGTGTCGGTCCTCGCAGCAGAGCCTGGGCCAGCCTGCGGGCTCCATCCCCACCAGGTGGCAGGGAGTGCTGAGGGCTCAGGAAGCTCCCAGGATCCAGGTGAGGGTCCCAGGTTCACCCAGCACGACTGGGACGGGGACATCAGGGGCCCTCCACCCTCTTGGGAAAACACTCATTTCAGCCTCCACTGTCTCCTTTAGCAGTTCTTCCAACGACTTAAAATCAACTCCAAAGACCGTAAAATACATGAGATAGAGTTTTGCTTTAAGAAAATGAACATAGAAACTGTATGGACTGAATGTTCTTAGTGGAAACTGCTCATTTATTTTATAAAAAGAAAGGGGAAGAAAAACCCTCAGAGGGGCTGATCTTCACACATCCACGAGCCGCCCAGCTGCTCCCGCCAGCTTGTCTGCAGCCTCGTGCTGAGGGGTCGGGCCCTTCAGCGCCCGGAGAGGGAGGGGCCCTGGATGCATAGACATCATGCCGCATTCAGGGCCTCATTTCTTGGTGACCTCCCACAGAGGGCTGCACGGATGTGTGGAAATGTGTGTCCCATGGAGGAGACACCCCCTCCTCAGCTCCACATGTGCTCAGATAGGTTCCCACTGGTCTGTGGCAGCCTACTTTGTGGTCTCAGGCAGGTTCTAGACCCTGGACCTTCCACACTCCCACTGCTCTTCTGTGTTCTATGCTGTGAGGACACACCGAGCGTCTTCTTGAGGCCGTGTAGACCTCTCCTGGTGTGGGAGTGCTGTGTAGACCTCTCCTAGGGCAGAAGTGCAGTGTAGACCCATCCTGGCGTGGGGGATGCCCTGTAGACCATTCCTGGGGTGGGAGTGCAGTGTAGACCCTCCTGGGACCAGCTCAGGCACACTGAGGGGTTGGGGAGTGGAGAATTAGGAGCAGGAGGGACAGCACGTTGTCCTGGCTGGACACAGCAGAGATGCTGAGCTCCCGTGGGGCTGGCCGGGGGAGGCCTAGGGAGGTCTGTGGGCACCGTGTGTGGGTGGGATGACTTGGGGGCTGGGGGTGGGATGAAGGGGAAGAGGGCAGGAGACAGTTGACAGGCACAGGCCCAGGGTGGGTGACTAACGCTGGTCCCACCTCCTGGCCATTCCCTGTTTCTGGCTCAGCCTTGCTGCCAATGGCCGCCCTCCCCTATGGTCACCCTTTCCCTGTGGTTGCCCTCCCCTGTGGCCACTCTCTCCCCATGTCACACCCCTCCCCCCGCGCGTGTGACCACTGCTCCGTGCCCCCTTCCCATGCCCCCCCAGTGCCCCCTGCTGCCCCTGCCCCGCCCTCCCCCCCGCCGGCTCATGCGTCCCTCGCTCACCCTCGGCCGCTCTCCCCCAGGGCACCGACTCCGAGTCCGAGGACGCGCCCCCCCAGCACTCCTTCGTCAATCACTACATGAGCGACCCCACCTACTACAACTCGTGGAAGCGCCGGGCGCCGGGCGGGCGCGCGGCCCCGCACAGGTACGAGGCGGTGGCGGGGGCCGAGGCGGGCCCGCACCTGCACACGGTGGTCACCACGCAGAGCGCCGTGTTCGCGCCCGCCGGCCACGGCGCCCGGACTCCGCTCACCGGCTTCTCCTCCTTCGTGTAGCGCCGGCCCGCCCCGCTGCGGAGTCTATTTTTAAGACAATCAACTCCAATAACTGAGCTCCAGTTTTTGTTTAAAAGAATTCTGATACGTGATGATTTTACCTACTTGTGAACACTAGATTTAAATTAGAAAGGTTTTTTTAATGGCTTTTTGTAACATCGCTGCAGGAAGCGGGTTTCTTTGTTTTTCTTTTCTTTTTACGAGAAGGTGTATTTCACTGGTGCAATGGCGTGGCACCCCGGGGCCTCTGAAGACCTGAGACCTCCCCAGTGCCAGGTTTCTCCGTCCTAACGTCCAACTAGGAAGGCTGGAGGGGGAGGAAGAGCTGGGGGTCAAGGGAGACCCCCACCTGCCTCCAGGCGGCTCCTTCCTCTTCTCTACCTCCTCTGCCTGCGGAGCCCCAGCGGCTCACCTGACTCTCCCTCTGTGACATCTCCGGGCTGTGGCTCTCTCCTGGGGTGTGACAAGCGGACGTCTGATCTGGGCTCAGGGCTCTCTCCCCAACTGCTTCCATCTCTGCAAGGTCCCCACTGTGCGTTTCTAGGTGGGGAATCAGCTTTAAGGCTCCTGGCAATGGGGCAAGAGATTCTAAGTGGTGTCTCTGACCTGGTGACGGCTCAGAGCTGCATTCTGTCATTCCAGTGGTGAAATATTCGGGGCTTTCTTTCTCTTTTCTTTCTTTACACCTGATAGTCCAGGAGCAGGAAACCACCCCCACGGCTGGACGCCACCAGCACAGCCCTCAGCAAGCTAGCTCCTTCCTGTGAACACAGCCCACGGCCACCGCTAGCCCCGAGGAAGCGAGCCAGCGGTTTCAGAATTGCTTGTTGTGTAAGAGGTGTGCATTGTTAACCAGAGTATTTTTTAAACCTTTTTATCATTTTTTAAAATATGTCACATGAAATGAATGAGTCTCTGCTGTCTCCAGGTGCCTTTTTATTAATCGTTTAGTTTTGTACATGGGAAAGACAAGAGCGCCAGTGTCTCCAAATAAAGTGAACCGGCTCCAAGGAAACGGGGGCTGCCTGGCCTTGGGCTCACAGCCCTCCGTGCCCGCACACAGTGCATCCTCCAGCCCGGCCTCTGGAGGCACCCTTGCTCCCCCCCGCTGCCCACCGCCTTGCCCGCCAGTGCTGCTGCTGTCCCGTCCCCCGATCCGAGGCCAGCTTTTAGCCTTAACAGGTTTTCTGAAAACGTTTTTTCTTCCTTTACTATTGTTTTGTTTTAGTTTTTTAGCTAAATGAGAATGGCATGAACTACTTTGAAAATCTTAGATTCTAAGCCGTAGCTGTCCCTCCAGCCCATCACATTATTTTAGCAACAGGTGGCTGAGGTGTGGGTGATCAGTCCCCCAGGCCAGAGCCGGGTCCATCTGTAACCCGAGTGCTGCTGGTGCCAGCCTGTGTGTGTCCGGGAGGGCCCCACGTCCCCGCCCGCCGGCAGGAATGTGGCACATTAGAGAACAGCCACTCTGTCTGTGGACACTCCCAGCGCACAGGGGAGCAGGGCGGTGCTCTCCTCGCCGGGGACCTGCCGGTGCTCTGAGGTGGGAAATGGCGGGGCCCAGCGCCTGGCCGGTCTCGTGCCTCCTGTGGAACCTGTGGTCTCTGCTCCACTCTCCTTTCTACACCTCCGTGGGGCAGAGGGCATGTCTTCACCCCCAGCTGTCAGAGTTGCTGGCTGTGGCCCCAGGAGACCAAGGAGAGTTTTGCGTTGGGTGAAAAGCCCCTTTTCAGTTTTTCCAAAAGTAGAGGGTGTGTGTGGAAAATTTCCTTTCTCTCTCTCTCCTCCTCCCTCCCCTCCTTCCTTCTCTCCTTCCTTTTCTGCTTCCTTCCTTCTTTTTCTGAGTGGAGGGAGAAATACTCTAAACCAAAAATCCTAGACACTCTGCCCAAAGCTGCTTGTGTGTGAGCCTCGCTCCCCACAGTTCACAGGACCCACCGCGGGGCACAGAGCCCACCTCCCTCCCCTCGGCCCCAAGACCCAAAGTGGATGGGAATCCGTGAGGCTGCAACATGAATTTCCTGGAAGAGAAGGGATAGACGGAGAACGTGGACAACACTGCCTTCTGTGCACTTCGCTCTCTAAGCCATACAGACTTCGCTGTAAATAACGGGGAAAGTGTTGAAACGTCTTGGGATGAGGACGATTTGGGTTGAAGTGTGGTTTTTGCTTTTGGGTTTTTGTGACAACAACATGACACTCTTTTTTCAGGCTCACTGTATTCCTGTATTCTCTCTACTTTTAGTAAACTTTTTTGGTATGGGATTGTCTGTCCGAGGCTGCACTGGCCCCGTGGCTGCTGGAGGACTGGTGGCGTCTGCGCTCCCCTCTCACTGGGGGGCTCTGGCCCACGAGAGACACCCGCACCAAAGGAACAGAGTGGGTGTTTCTGGTTAGAGTTCAGCCTCCTTCCCAATATGGGCGTTGAGAAGCGTCACTTCCTAGCTTCTCGTCTTTAGGGAAGGAAAAAAATCACACAACAGGAAAATGGATACTGGATTTTAATCGCAGTTCTGAAAAAAGGACAAGCAATGTCTCTTTAACCAGGGCCGCCTTCTGCAGTGGTGCCATTCAGGTGCCTCGTGGTGGGCAGTTGCTGAGTCCCCCATGGAAGCCCTCAGATGGGCTTGAAGAGTGCCATGGCAGGCGGTGGCAGATGAGCTGCCCTTTCCTTGTGAGGAGGACACAGCAAAGCAGCCAGGAGGGGCCGCGGTCTCTGTCTGAGCTGCAGGGGTGGGTTTGCATGGGGCTCCCCTCTCCACCAGGGAACCAGGGCACAGTGTCCAGACAGGTGAGCAGCGGGGCAGGGCTGTGGGCAGTGCCTGTGCCCAGCGGGCGGTAAGCACATCAACTTGACCCCCTTTACCTCGTCCCTCTGAATAAGGCCCAAACAGAGGCCTCTCCTACCCCAGCCTTCCGTTCTGCTTCTCTCACTGCCATGCTTTTAAGGAGCACTCCATTAAATGTGGTAGCAGAGAAAGACGCGATGTGGGGTAATGTGGGGATCCTTCCCCCCTGCCAGCGATGGAAGAGACTGCAAGTGGATGGCCCTCTGCCACGTAGAGCTTCCACCCTCCCGGAGGATGATGCCCCCTCTGGAAACTTCTTTTGATGCTGTGCTTGGACCTGATCACCACTGGACTGCAGCATGGTGTTTGCATAATGGTTCGTAGCATGGTTTTCAGTTTTTTGGAATTCTTCGCACACAGTGTAGTTATTCTCCCAGTGAGCAATCAATCCGCGTATCCAAACGTGCCTCTCTTTAATTCCACATCCCTGTAGCTTGGTTCTGGTCCGAGAGGTGGAACAAAGCAAAAATCCGTGAACCGGGCTAGTCTGCCGGGGCATGCCACCTCTCTCAGCGTCTCCTCCGGTCTATCGAGAGCCTAGGTCAGTCCTGAAGCTTTCCCCACAATGTTTTCTGGAATTGGGCAGACCACCAGATCTCATTAAAAAGAAAAAAAAAAACCCAACTTGTAGGAAGACAGAGAGGTGCTATGGGTACGATTTTTAATAAAAACATCCTTTTGTTCCTTATGCGCTTGTGATTTTCTTCAAGTATTGATGAAATGACTCATGACTTCTGGGCTGTAAAGATGAAACACTGAAACTGAACCCTGGGGCTGTTCCAGACCCCGCTCCTGTTGACGTGCCAGCGGGCACTGGCGTGCAGGACAGGGGAGTTGAGGTCAGAGGGATTCAGACTCTCCCAGGGGAGGCATGCCCCGGGCAGCACCCGGGCTGCGTAGCCAGGTGGCCTGAGACAGGCAACATGGAGCCTACGCCCTGAGTGGACTACAGGCATTCTCAGTGCCAGCACCAGCCCCCCACCACCTGGCCATACGCCCACAGACTTCACAGGTGCTCAGAGTGGAGACTGCTCATTACCAAACTTAGGTTGGGGGAACGCGGGGCCCTGAGCAAGACTGCCTTCCTCCTAAGGAATCTCCCTTCCCCTGGGGGCCTTCGCAGGCTCAGGGAGCACTCTGAGTGTGGGGAAATGAATGAGGCCATTCCCTCCCTTTCCAGTTAGACATGTGTGTCAAGGGCGTGTGGCCGCAGTGCCAGAGTCCACCAGGAGGGGCGCAGCTTCGCCCTCATCCTCAGGTCCTGCCAGCCTCAGATGGTGGTTCTCAACTATGGTGCTTAAAATCTCCGTGCCCAGGCCACACCCAGACCAACAAAGACAGAATCTCTGGGGCTCAAGCCCAAGCAGCCAATTTTTTTTTGTTTTTGAAAGCTCCCCAAGTGATTCCCAGGCGTGGCCAAGGACGGGGTGTTGGGAAGAGGCAGCGGCTGCCAGCTGCAGGGAGGAGGGGGCCGGGTCCAAGGAGAAGGGGGCCTGTGATTCCAACTCTGCCCTTTTGCTCCAGAAGTAATCACTGCCATTGATGGGCCAGAGGTAAGAGCGTTTTCATTTTTCTCTCTTTTCCCCAACATTTTCCCCCACCATCCCACCCCCCAAAATAAAAAATTAAAATCTGCACATTTTCCACTATCTCCAATATTTTAGAAATTGCAGCTGCCGTGTAAAAAGATAGTTGACGTTTATGGAACACATACCCTGTGCCGGGCGGTGTTCTGTGTTCTTTTCATTGGTGAATCCACGGGACTCAGGACTCCTCCAGGACCGGATGAGGCAGGCACAGTCAGGGGCCCCATTTTGTAGATGAGGAAATGTGCCCAGAGAGGGGAAGCTCTTTGCCTCACTGTAGACAGCCGGCAAGGGGCAGGTCCAGGGTCCAAACCTAGGCAGCTGGGGGCTGCAGAGCTGGGTCCCCAACCACAGCCCTGCACTGCCTCCAAGACGCCGTCTGCTCTCACCTCAGCTTACATCAGACCCATGGACCATTAGTCTTGGAGAAGAGCTGGGCACAGTCACGGCACCTACACATCAACGTACAGAAGATTTCATTGTCCCCACATCGTCTCCTATATTAATAAAGAGAAAACGCATGAGTTAATTTGGCCTTTGTTATGCAAAACCTTGCCATTGTTACCATTGTTATTATTATTATTGAAAAGTTAATGGAAAAATGTTCGAAATGCAACTATTTATCACAGGAGAAAGAAATCTCCATCATCTTGGATGACAGATAGATAAACCCCCCAAGAAGGGAAGACGACTGAGATGGGAATGCTGGCTGCAAGCAGCTGAGTGGAGAGCGTGGAGCCCTGCTGTGGCCTCCAGGGCTCTGTGTGGTCTTGACTCGGTGGACAGGAAGGGGAGGAGCAGGAGGGGAGGGACCTGCCAGCTTGATGCTCACACCTTCCTGGAGAAGCCTGTGGATTGGTGGGCTCTGAGTCCCACAGAGCCCAGCCCCCAAACCATCTAAAGTGGGCGTCCATGGGCGCAAAAACAGTGGGGGCTGCAGGGGCTGGTGGGACCTGCATCTCCATGAGTTCAGGTTTCCTCTGAAAGGA